ATGTGTTTTTCTCAATCAGAGTAACCTTCCTGCATCAATACATTTTACATCTATTTTTTCACTTTCAGTCAATAGAATTTACACATTCTGATTCTACCTGATTGACCTAGTCTGTTCTCATTTGCCAAAGACAAGACAAATTGTATTTAATAACAAACACACTGACATGCATTGTAGCTGACCTTTTCTAATAGAGACTAATGGGCTAGGTGTAAGTCAGTGCAGATTCAGGCTGACCACCCACTTCATGAACAAAAAACGGAATTGTTCCTATTAAATCTTCATTACACACCAAGTGGCATACAATCAACTATTGATAGACACAAATTGCTGGGGCTTGCAGTGGGAGACACCCTGAAATGCTAATGTTTAATTTGCAGTAATAAGTCGATGGGTGCTGAGCACAGGCGGCTCGCTCTCTCAATGGTCATGAGCTGCTATTGAAAATACAGCAAAGCAAAATTACAAAGGAGTATAACCTTCAGTCTAATAATAGCATCTCTCGCTCTGAAATCTTTTCTGTTGCGCTGCGGTGCCGCTCGCATCAAGTGGTTTTTATGTCTTTTGTTATGCATGTTTCGATGTGAACATGGAGCCGTTCTGGACAAGTAAACCAACATACACAAGCCCTGCTATTCAGGGGTTTATGATGCTTGTGGACTAATCTGACAATTATGTACAGTATAATAAATGGAACCTCTCCATAATGGGGCTTCATTTTCCAGTGCAAATTCAAATAGAAAGCCTGGGGATCTGTGAGAACAAGAGGATTTCTGTAAATCGTAGTCAAAGACAGAATGTCAGGACAGTTTCATTGAGGTCGAGTTTAGCTTTCAGCTTGATAATGAGGCATCATTTTTGAGCCTTTTAAAGGTCAGGATCTGATGTGCAAACTGTGCATACGTACCTCCACCAGCCCTTGTAATATCCTCACAAAGATGACACATCCATAGTGCGTCCGGGCGGCAGAGGGAATGAACATGTTCAAGATGGATGTCAGCACAATGGCAGCACCGAAAACTCTGGATAAACAATGTGTCGGGATTATTTGTCAGAATATCATCAAAACAAGATCATCTTATTCAAAGAAGATACGCGGCAACAATATTGATTCAAGCATAAAACATCAGATAAGAAATACAACATATCAAAACAATGTTAAACTGTGGGATTCTTTACTGGGAGAAGTATCACTGAGGAAGATAAATAAATCCTAATTGGATGGCACACACACACACACACACACACTAACACACTATTCATACAGCGGGGACAGGAGGTGTTTGCAGCAGAAGGCCTCAGTGGGCTCAGCTGACTTGGCATGATGAAGCTCTTCAAAGATTTGCATCTTATTTAGGCTTCATTTCCCTCGTGAGAAATTGAACAACCTTATGATGTGGATAAGGGCTTATACTGCAACCTTATCCTACTTTGGTTGCTTTTTACAGCATCCTCACGACTATATTTACATGGGTTTCTAATGTGTTGTTATAATTTGTTACTGTACTACAGTTTTTACATATTTGTTGTTATTTTTCTCTGTCATTTTGTTTAATTGCAGCTGACTAATCAGTTGGTATAGTGAAATAATGTGATTATAGAGGCGGTATGGCCATTGAAATCATACTACAATCATTACTTAGAGCCGCATTTCACACTGCAGGGCTTTGGCTGATGTGGTTGCCATGCCTCTGAACATAAAGGATTAGACATGGTGGTCCCATGGGAGCTCATTAACATGAGGAGGCACGCCTGGTGGGCATCAGCCAAATCCCCAGTATATCTGCTGTAAGGTCAGGCTCCTTTCTTCAAACCATGAGACCGACATCCGAATATTACACCTACATTTCCATTATAAATTATAAATAGAAACATACAACTGATATTTAGCCCCACCCACACTATCCATAGATTATTTCCAGTTACCTGTTTGCAGCCAGTCTGGAGGAGATATACCCTCCTGGTATCTGAGTCACTATGTAGCCCCAGAAGAAGGAGCCATGAATCATCCCCACGGTCTCTGGGCCCCAGTTAAATTTCGCTTGCTTTCAGAAAAAAAAATAAAGACATATTTTAATTACTTTTCCAGACAAGTGTAACATGGTGAAATTGTTAAAGGTGTAATCAAAATGCTTCTTATCTAGGTGTGTCATTGTGAAAAATATTATCAGAAAGCTATCAGATCTATTTTATTTGATGCTTCAATATCTTTGCAGCGACACCGTAACGTAGTCGATCAATTAATCAAAGCACACAATAAGTCGATTTTTAAGGAAAATTACAAATAAAGACAAATAAACCCATGTGTTCATTCCTACCTACTATATAATAAAGGCCCAGCACAATAAATACAATTAAAAAGTACGTATGAGCTCAATTGATGTTCTCCAGGTGTGTTTTAAAACATATCGATCCGTCTATTGGCTCTGGCCCTCATCACTTATTAAACACGCGAGGTGAGCTCGTGCGAGGATGAGCCACCACGCACCTCTGTGATGATGATCTTGCCGTTTTGGTGGATCGTGCTGTTATTGACCATGCTGACGATGGCCACACCCAAGTTACACCGGATACCGAAGGAGATGCAGAAGCCCATCCCGCTCAGCATAGCGATGATGTATCTGCGCGGAGCCCCGAAGCAAGTGCAGTCACACAGGGGCTTCTTCCGCTCCTGGTCCGCCGTGGGTCTCCCATCCTCCGTGAGCTCGATCGCCTCCCCTGTCTGCTGCCGCTTTTCCAGCCTCCTGCACGACACGAGCCGATTATATGTTCATTTTTAATTCATTTTTTTAGGTTAAATTCAATGTCGACACGTCGGTGTATGCATTCAAACATCCAGGCACATTTAGCTGCATTTAAAGGAGCGAGAAATATCAGTGGAAAATGTGTGATTTCGTTGATTGTCTGCAAAAACAAAATGTACACTTTTATACTGATGTATTTATTCACATGCATCTCACAAGCTGTTTGCAGCTAATGCTACATAAAATAAACTGGCACCTTAAGTACTTCGTGCTCTTTCAACGACAGGCCTTGACAATGTCTTTATTTCCATCTTTTAATTTGACTATTCAAAACCTGCTGCCTCCTTTTTTCCGTTCCCTGCTGAAATTCTCTATGTTTCTGTAAAAGAAAGACTCGTTGACAAACGAGGAAAGAATTATATTCATACCGCATTGCAGCAATATCAGCATCATCGTTGTCAAGAGTTAATTTTGCCCTTATCATTTTTAATGAGCTTCCATAAATGTGGGGTTGGCATCTTGCTTTGGCTTCCACTTAAAATTTGTAGAAAGAAATGTGAAGTTAATTTAAAAAAAACACAAAATGGAAATGTGTAGGCCTCATCCAGAAAAATAACCATAGGCCTGATAGTTTAATTGAAACCAACATATGTTTTTCTGAAGTCACGTTTCTGTGTTGCAGCTTGGAATCAAGTTCAACAACAAAAAATACATGTTGTGTGCCTGAACAAATAATCATTTAAAATACGTGTAATTTATAAACGTTACGTGTTTCCAGATGATTTGCGTAAGTATTGTTTTTTCGGCTTAGTATTCAACCAAAGTCTATTTTATTCGCATTCACAATCGGAATTGTCACATTATTAAATTCCACACATGTGACTTATACATCCTGCTCCATTACTCTGATTTTACATTGAAGAGCTGTTTGCTTTCAAGTCAGTTATCAGTTTTCCTTTGCATTACATTTCATGTCGGTCCTTCTGACAGTATAAAGAATAAAGGGAGTCAATTGATATGAAGTCCATCGATCTTGGATTAATACAGATAGATACATAAGGTAATAGATATCCTCCGACCTTGTGTCACGACTCGTTCTGTTTCATTAATTATTAAAAAACACCCACGGCAGCTGGTAGAGGGGATCATCCTCCAGGGAAATAGCTGATCCTTAAATATTCGGGCCACACGACTCTGCTTTCAGCATCCTGTCCGTGATCAAACTCATAAAGAAGAGATTTCCCTCTTGATTTCAATGTAATTCAGTAATAAGCACATTTAAAGCCAGTGCGTGTTTTATGTGTGCTATTCTTATGTGTGATCTTGACATCTGGATATTTCCTATTTTAATTTATCGTAACAGATATTATTCTGTAATCAAAAGACGTGCAGAAATGGGGATTTCTTTGCCTTACCTGTAAATTTTCCCGAGGGCCTTTCCTGCGATCTGTTTTATACCCTCCTTGGTGGTAGGGGCAGCTTTCTCCGCGCACGGCTCCATATCCAAATGAGCTATGAAATTCTACAATACTATAACAAATGGAAGTGCTGCATTAATGAGCATATTGCTAATATATTAATCCAAATAACGCGCTCTTGTCTTTTAAGCAGAAAAACGTCTCGATGTCCTGAAGAGATGAGCCAGAAAAATGGAGAAGAGAGAGAACACGTTCAGTCTGAAAGGGCTGGTTTCACAGTCACAAAACAGCAGTCAAGTAACTCCGCTTTTGCCTTGCGCAATGTTAATCCATGCAGTGCCATTTTAAGATCCAGGCAGCGATTAGAAAACAGCATCACAGAAAATAGAAAGTTGTTTGTTTAGGAGGGGGGCTGGGGAATTTTTTCTTTGAGAATTCTTGGAGAAATCGAGGTGGAAAAGTGAAAATCTTCAGCTGGTGCAGGTCAGCGGAGCTCCGGTCTAATCTGAGGTGAAGATCTCCGGTGAGGCAGCAGCCGGAGGAGGTTTCAGCACCGTGGACAGCGCACAGCTCATCTACCTGTCAGCAGCTCCGCGCAGCGCCCCTCCTCCCTCCGCTTCCGACGCTCCTCTCCTCTAATTCAATTACTACGTAAAAATGTGTGAACAGCGACAGTTGCCACTTGCATAACCTCTATCCATCACTTATATATAACTGAATAAAAAGGATTTCAGGATGAGCTCCGACCACTCATAAATCACTTGCTGCAGCAGGCACAAAGCATTGATCCCCCCCACTACCCTCCCTTACATCCGGTTATTGCTTGGTTTTAGGTTGACCTGCTGCGCTTACAGACACGGTTCAACCTATACGTGGCCCCATTTATAGAAAGATTTGTTGAATAAACTGAGGATTGTAAAAAATGTTTTCACTGAATGACAGAAACAGTATTCACACACGTGGAACCAGACCGTGAAGTACAGTATGCAGTCAACCACGGAGAGGCAGTGTTGTGTAAGGAAGTTAAGGAGACTAAACTGATATGAGATTCAATGAGATAACGGAGACATTGTTTCATATAGTGTATTTATCTTGTTCCTCCAATCAAAGAAAGCGGTTGATCAAACAGAGGACATACAGAGGTTTTCTATACAATTTCAAAAAACATTACTGAGTTATTTCTACAGCTCACTGGGATCCAGGTGCAGACAGTGCGCACGCAGGTGTGACAGTAGATATCCGCGGCCTTTTCCTCACCGTCATCCGGGTCCGCTTGGATATCATTGAGGCCACCTGCGTGCCTGGACACTGGGAAAACATGGCAGCAAAAGGGCTGCGAAATTCCTTCCTGAACTGGCGGCCTATGAAGCAGCTGAACAGAGGGTTCACGCAGGAAATGAGGCTGCAGAAGCACATCTCCAGGGCGAAGGCCAGGTCTGCGCGCCGCCAGGAGGCGGGGCTGTGAGGATAGACCACCCGCATCACGATGGCCGCGTTGCGGCTCAGGTGGTAGGGCACGTAAAACAGGGCGAAGAAAACCAGCGCTGCGCTCAGCACCCGCCGGAGCCGCCGCTGCTTGTTGAGCGGGTCGGGGCGGCAGGAGCGGTGGCGCAGCTCTCTGACGCTGCGCAGGCCGCAGTAGCAGATGGAGAGCAGCGGGAAGAGGAAGCCGACGATGGAACAAAAGAGGGAATAGGACAGGCTCCCCCCGGTCTCGCTCAGCAGTACGTACAGGGGGCAGACGGTGCGGTTGCTCCCGGGGCAAGTCTGGATCACACTCATACTGGCAACAGGTATGCTGAGGACCAGATAGGCCACCCAGACCGCCACACACAACAGGCAGGTCTGTCTCCGGCCCAGCAGCACCAGAGAGCGCAGCGGGTGCACGATGGCCAGGTACCGGTCCACACTGATGCAGGTGATGAAGAAGATGCTGAGGTAGAAGTACTTGTGGTAAAACATCCTCACAGCCATGCAGAGCGAGATCCCCAACTTCCAGTACAGCTGGTCCAGGTGGTAGTTGATGAGGTACGGCAAGGCCAGCAGCCACGAGGTGTCAGCCAGGGTCAGGTTGAAGAGGAACACCGTGCTGCGGGTCCAGCGCCGCAGGCGGTGGAGGAAAACCCAGAGGGAAAGCAGGTTGAGGGGGAGCCCAAGGATGAGCACCGCCAGGAAGAAGGACGGCATCACGTAGAGCTGGACCACCTGTAGACTTTGATGTGTGACCAGGTCGCAGAAGGCTTCCTCTGCAGGCTGGATGAGTTTACAATGCAGATGACAATATAGTTTATGTCCTCTTATTCTTCATCTAAACCTGCCTTTCATTGTTAACACTGGTTTGATTGCACAAAACATTAAAGATATGAACATGATATCTGCCCTGAGCTTATGAACAATCATTTTTCCATAATTACAATGCTGTTAAAATCTATATTTAAATCTTAACCTGATTGAGAACATGTGTAAAATCACAGTGAACAGTGCCAGCTTACCTGAACCTGAGTGTTGCCCATGTCTTTATAACAGTGGCTTCACGGTGTGCCAAGCGAAACAACCATGCCATCATATTTTGGTGTAACACACACCCACCAGTGTTAACAAACACTGAATAGTTATCAGTGTTCTCTCGGGCCATCTGTTATGTGAACAGCAACTTTCATGTTCTCAGCAGAGAGAGAGAGCAGGTGGGCTACAGTATTTAAGACTGATCCAAACATGTCCAACAATTACTCAAGATAAACTGGTACTTTATTTTGGAGATTTGTCTTTGTTTACCATACACATTTGGATACAGGACAATTACATAAATGACAGAAACAAATGGTTGAAAACACAACTGTAATTTTAAGCATAGAGTAAACAGGTTTACCTTTTTTACGAGCATAGTAATGGTATAAAATGAAATATTATTATTACTAGAGCATAACAAGAAGAAGACATAAGAGAAGAGGTATACAAGGAAATAAAATAGAAAACACAAGTTTTTAGATGTATTAAGGCATCAACAGGCAGAGTTCAGCTGAGCCCAGAGCATGAAAAAGGCAAACTGGACCAGTCCAACATTGCTCTCAGCCGGTCACATCTACATGCATCTCAAACAAACTGATTTAGTTGTCCAAGTTTGTGGCACAGCCAGCCAGCTTTTGAACATAAAATTCAACCTAAAATCCAAAAACAGAATATTCTCACATATTTCTATAGGCAGCCAAATAAACACAAAATGTCCTTCATATCATTTCAAAATAAAAAGCTACATCTTTCTCCGTGTTGTCATTTAAGCTTGATATAAATATCAAATAGACAGTTCAACTTTTGTTCCATTTAAATAAAAACAGATTATCACACATTGCTGCTTCAAACTACTGATTATGAATATGTAGTGTCATGACAACAATTAAACTGACGTGTTTATGTCTCGGTAGTTACATTTCATTAAGTGCTCGGTGCAAAATAAAAAAATGAGAACGCGTTTCTTTCCTTCACTACACAGACACAGCTAAGGAAACCAAGCACACGAACTGGGCGATGGCTGACGCGCTTTGTGTGATGGAGCAAACACAGTTCAGTAGGTAGGGGCAGGCTTGCATTAGCTCTGACGTGTTGGTAAACAGAGGCACATTAAAAAGGGATCTCTTCACTCGCTGTCAACAGTCAACATGCACCACCTGCTGCTGCTGCTTAACAACTGGCCATTGCAGGACAACATCTGCCCTTCCTCACAGTACTAAGAGCTGCACAGATTTGTCGTCATTAAAAGCTACTTCACATGTCAGACATTGGCCTTGAGAAACGGCTGGGCTGTTATGAGAATAAAGCGTAACGCAACCCGCCTATTAACTGCCAGTGGAGTGAAGAAAATAATTTGGTAAAATTGTGTTACATCTGTGCTGTAACCTCAATGCAAAAAACAATGCTAGAACGTTTTTGCTGTGACAACAACAACAAAAATATAATTAAACATAAACTTATAGTAAAGGGAAATACTTAAAACCCCATAGTAAGCAAGTTCTCAGTTTCTAAATGATACAAATTATTATTCTAATGACAGATGGAAGCAATGATAAGTTTGAATGTAAGGCATCAAGTATTTTGTTACTCATAGTGGCAATTAAATAAATAGACTTACACTACAATAAGAGTAAGTTGTCTGGCTTAGACACAGTGTATAAGATTTTCTTTTTCGTTCCTTACAGCAAATATTGATTATCATCAGCTCTTTGGTTACATCGAGTGAAAAGCCATAAATATTACGTGTTTCAGCATGCGCGGAGACTTGATCTTTCAACCATGAGCACTTATATTATCAGCAGATTAGTAGAAGAGGGATGGCTGTGAATTAAAGAAACCTCAAGCTCTTTAATAAAACAAATGTCTGTGTGAGTGTGAGTGTGTGTGTGTGTGTGTGTGTGTGTGTGTGTG